TTTCTGATGGTGGCAATAATCATGATCTGTTTCCTCCAATAATTTTGAAAAACTGCTCTAATTTTTATTACTCTACTTAATTTAAAATAATAAATAATTATTAATTATTTTAATAATTAATAATTAATAATTAATAAATTAATATTTTCAAATACTATTTGTAAAAATAAAGACAAATGACTTTAACATTTCTGATGGTGGCAATAATCATGATCTGTTCCCTCCAATAATTTTGAAAAACTGCTCTAATTTTTATTACTCTACTTATTTAAAATAATAAATTATATTTTTTGAGTTTATAACATTTTGTAAAAGCAGAATAATGACCCAAAAAGGAAAAAGGAAAAAGCTTAGAGTAATTACAGAGTATAGACACATATAAATGTCATCAGATATCCAAAAAAGAGGTTTAGATAGATCACGATGATTTTTACAACTGCTCAACATATACGCATTCATAATCTCATTCCCATGTGTTACGGAGTCATGGTAAGAGCCGATGAAAACAAAATCAGCTAAATCTCTAGGGTCAAACCTTCGTTTCCTATCAAGAGTTTTTTCCTTTTGTTCACCATAAACAGATATATGAACCATCTTTTTGATATTTTGACAATTGTGTATTTGTTCAAAACTATAATGGTTGATCTTTAGTATTTGTAAGATGTTGCGAACTGTCTCCATGATAGCAAGACAAGATCCAATTCTCCAGAATGATGCTTGTTGGATTGGATAGGTCTTGTTGAAGTAGTTCTCATTACGACATGGCTTCCATTCTTCCCCTTTGATGCATGTTGCAGTAGCAGTTATGTCATTCCAAAAAAAGCACAAAACCAATCATGCATAAGGCAAAATAATACTTTTACCATTCATAACATATATCAATAGAGACATTGATCGATAACTATAAATAACATCAAGTATACAATTGCATGTATTCAGTCAATAAATATACCCTACCAAAATGCAAGGCCAAAATAACCACAACGAAAAGTAAAAATGCAAAAAGCTTGCATACCTAAGAATGATGAAAGGGCAATAAACATCAACTTTTGTCAATAAATCAACATATCAGTTTTGATATCATTATGAACAACTGGGGGCAAATGGTGGCCAATCTGCAAAACAAAAAATCACAACGCAAGTCCTAGATTGTCGTGGCATGAATGAAAGGCTAATAGACCATAAAAGGAAATAGAAACCGGCCACTAAGTGGAAACTTACATAACATAAAATGCAAGTTACATCTTGCTAAATCCTTTTCTTTCCTGCTTCACTTTTTGTGCTGTATATCCCAAAAGAAACAAATAGTGAAGCTTGTAAAAGACTTCATGTTTTCACAAGTTCAATCTTCTTCATATACCTACTATTGCTGGTTAAGTTCAACTGCCATGGCCAATCTCCTTCTTTTCCCTCTACTATTCCTAAGATAATTTGAACAATGTAAATCAGAAAACCATAATCACTGCTAAATTTCATAAAACAAGTGGGAGGTGGTATGGATGGGATGGACTTAAGCAAAAACATTAACCTTAAAACTAATAGCTCCCTATATCATTGAAAAAAAAAAAAGCTTGTAAATTTGAAAGAAAAGAGGATTAACTCCTTCTACTTCATCAAAGAGGATTTATAACAACTTGATAGCTCCCTATATTATCATAGTCTTCATAATTTGAGAATTTGGAATATTTCTTAATAGAAAACAACAAGTGAAACATACCACAAGTGTGTTGGCGGCATAGAGGATTGATGCTGGATTCTAACCAATTTGCCAAGGCTTCTCAATTCACAAGTAGTTGGCACATTAGATTCTTGAACAATCCCAGGAATTCCATAACTGATAGAAAAACACAAAACAAAAAAGAAAAAGAAATTTAGGAAGAAATTAGAACTTAGATTAACCTGTTGGATTCCAAAATGTTATCTTCAAATAGAAATTTTGCTCTAGGAGCACAAAAACCATAAGAGTTTGGATGGTATAGAAAGCCTTAGATAAAAAACCAGAAACTTACATAACATTGATCTAAAGCTTGTTACACTTGTACATCCATCAGACATAGCTTCACACACCAACACATTAAACTCTTTACTTCCTCCTGCCATGTTTGGTTATGGCAGCAAGGTTTATAAATTCTAAAAGAATTTGGATGGAATAGAAAGCATTAGATTTGAAAATTGGAAACATACATAGCATTGATTAAGGCTTGTTACGCTTGTGCATCCATCAAAGATAGCTCTCAAACAGCAACACATCAACTCCTTCCTAGCTCTTGCCATGTTTGGCTATGGCAGCAAGGTTCACCAGTCATCTCAGGACAGTATGATATGTTGCATGGTATGAATCAAACTTATGAAGGGAGCCCAGTAGCACTCACTTGTTGCATTGTACTCTTGAAACACATTTGGATTTGGATTTAAGGAGGGGGTTTCGAAGTTTAGATGGGGGCTAATCCACCGTACAAAGTAAAAGTAATAACTGAACAAAAGAAAATTGTTCATAATGAGATGCCATTTTTAAGGAAAATCTAACATGTGAGTTTAAGTCTCCACTAAGAAGCTTTATATTATATGATAATTGGGAGGACTGCTCATCAACCAACAAGACAAGGTATAGACCATTTCCAGCCCATTGCCATGCTTTCCAAGCAAGCTCCACAAGTAACCTAAACAAATGATAAATCATGACACCAAAAAGAAGCGACTCAGCTACTTATAGGAAGCCAGAAAATGAAGTCAATTTTTGTTAGAAACTTTCTCTTGTACAGGACTTTAAGCTTAATAACCAAGATATGTACTGCTACTGAAAAAGATAAAATCAAAATAATTTTTCCAACCCACTACCATATTTTTCAAACAAACTTTTCAAATAACCTAAACAAATAACAATCATGGGTATGTGTCTCCATGCTTTGACTTGCATATGTGAACTTTAATTGCACTCTTGGAAAGGAAAAATTCACCTCTTTGCACAATTCATGATCATTACACCAAAAGGTTTTGTAGGAGACTTGGAAATGATACCAATTTTTATTAGGAACTTTCTTTCGTACAAAGCTTTTAGATTAAGAACCCAAAAAGCATACCCAGAAACCTAAAAACTTCCTCTCCTTTAGG